TAAATAGACAATAGTAGCCAAAGAAAATCCCTCCGCCTCTGCGCATGAGCAGTGCGCGTTTTGTTTTTCCATTTTACGTCTTCACGTCCAGCTCCGAAATACCCTATTTTCAACGAAACGTGCAGGTTGATTAAAACCACATCTGGCCCAGATTCTGCTCTTCATTCTATGAGATGTATTTGGAAATAAGGTGTGAGGGTGCGCGCGGCCCGCGACCAACGGCTCTCCCGCAGGTTCGGCCTAGGGTGGTTCCTATCTTACGACTAAGAACAACTGCAATTCATAAGTAATGCGCAAAAGTATCGTATACAAAATTTATAAAACCATAAAATCATGGTAAACATTACGTGCATTTTAAAATATTTTGACATTACCATTAAATTCTTTTCGACATACGAGCCTGAGCTGTTGAAAATCTTAGGGTGTGTTATTTATAAATTTGTAATCTTGTCAGTAAATACCGGTAAATACGAGACAAGAAGTCCTCATACATTTATCAGGACGTTTGTTTTTACAGTACATTTGCATTCATGAAAATCCTCATGTATTAAGAATTCAAATGCGGAACTGGTGGTCCATCGCCGCAGGGGGGAAAAACAAAACAACAACAATCAAAACACAGATTCAAACGTTTCCTTTTCCTTACGGCTCATATCTCACACGCCGCACACGCGTGTTATGCAGGCGCCTTACGCCAAACAATGGGCTGGATTGGGCCGCGTGGTGCCCCGGCGCCGCGATAGGCCGCAAGGCAAGGTCCTCCGGGCTTTCTTGCCTCCGGAGACCTTTGCTCCGGGAGCCTGCTCCCCCGGGCCGCCGGGCCGGACGGCTGCCGGCTGCGCGCCACCGGGCGTGCGGACCTCCACGAGCAAGTGCACATCCGTCGCCCCAAGGGCGCAGGGGCGCCGCAGGGCAGGGCTGCGCGGGACGCGGCCGTGCCGCTTTTCATTTTGCATTATTTTGCTTGAAGAGAGGTGGACGAGGCATGGACCTGCGTGCGTACCGCGATACAATAACGATCATTTGTTTTTACAAATTAAATATGTTTGTCGCACATATTGAAAAAATGAGATATGTGATGTGTGGTCGATTACAGATGATTTTTGTCCCCTCAAAATGGTACTACGCTCTTTGAGAAACCCTTTCGAACAAAATGGTTCGCATTTCATAAGAACGAACACTTTCGCAAGGCTCCCGGCCGAAACTTTTGTTTGTAAAATTCTAACAGCATGTGAGAAGCATAGGGGAGCACACAGGAGCGTGTCCCGTGCCGTGCCGTGTGCCGTCGGGCCGGGGCGACCGTGCCGCGGCTGCGGCAGAAGCAGAGCGGCTACAAGGAGATCGGCATAATCTTTTGCGTTCTTTTGCTTCAAACAAAGTATCACGCGCTTGCCATACCAGTGGCCGTTCGGTCGCGCCTTTCTTCGAAGCAACGTCAATAAAACCGCAGGAACAGTCAGTCCCGCGTGTTATGAGCACAAATTTAAGGCTAAAGGCGCATCTGTTAAATTACCGAGGGCATTGTGCTTTCCCTGTTTCCTCGGCTGCTGCAGCAGCAGCTGCTGTGTCCATCTCGCCATTGCTCCTGTCGCTATTACTAGTCTCGGTGTAGTGCAACAACAACCGCCTCTGACGGCTGTGTGGCACTGCAAACACTTTTTTTCTTGCTTTTGTTGTGGACATTCCCGTTGTGCGTCGCCATTCGGAAACGATATTTGCGCAGGTAGTATGCAACGAAATGCACTTGAGTAATTACAGTACCGTAGCGAAAGGTCTTCGGCTGATACTGATAATGTCTCGACCTCACGGGTGGCTGAACTTGTGTATATATATTTTTTTGCCGTCGACAAACTTTTCACTTGGTGCAGTTCGGATTCATTTTTCCATTTTCGCTGTGTGGCGTCTGCGCGGCGCCGCGTCGCGCCTGTTCCCTTCCAATATGGCCATTATCCATGCAGATTTGGCACGCGGGCCGCCGGGGGCTGCAGGCGCGGCCCGCGGGGTTGTCTCTGCGCCGCCGCGCCCCGCCCCGCCGAGCCCCGCCAGCACCGCGCCCGCGCCTTCTGGCCGGTGTGGCGGGGCGGAACTGAAGGAAGCCGGATGGCTCGGAGGCCGATACGTATCGTCCCTCTCTCTCCCACTCCCCCGTCGCGCCGGGGAAGACCAAAGCGTCCGTCTCTCTCGCACTCATTATGAACGGGTGGCGGCCTTGCGGATTGGCGGCAGAGTGCGTCTTTTTTTTAGGGCCTTATTACTGCTCAACTCACCCTTTACACCTACAAAAAATGAAATAAATGAAATAGAGAGAGAATTTTAACCAAACATGTATTGATATATGCTATAAAGTTTGTTTTAAAATCAACGATAAAGATCGTATTAAAAATAAATGCAGTGTTAATTTTTGTGGTGTATCTGCGAATAGTGATCTATTGACAGAATGAATATAGAAATGTATGAAAAACTGTATGGAACGTTGTTGTTGAATAAACCCCTCCGACCCCAAGAACTCGCTGTCTGCCATTGAATAATTTAATACAAAGAATTTCACGAATATATGAAAGTGGCGACGAGGATGAGATTGAAATATTGAAGAACATGTGTTAAAGTAAAAGAAAGCGAGATATTATTTAGCTAGAGTAGAATCATTTACACGCTGTTTAGCGATCCCCTAAGGGGGAGCCCTGCGACTGCCAGACCGCGACTCCGACATCGGCCCTAAACGCCTCGTACGAACACCTCCTCCGGTCATACTGACCCAGTGCACTTGCGGCACTTCCTCACACACACGCGCACACATACTTGCATACACACACTCACATACGCTCGCGCTCGCACATCGTATATATGGCAATATCAACATGGCCATCATTCACAAGGACGCGTGCCGGCCAGGTGCTCCCCCTCCACTCCGCCACGCCACGCCCCGCCACGCCCCGCCACGCTCCCGGCCGCGTCAGTTCCGCCCGCCGGGCCGGACCAGATGATGATGAATGTGTGTGTGTGTGTGTGTGTGTGTGTGTGTGTGTGGCGCCGTGAAGATGCGAGTATGGCCCAGCCAGTTTATATGAAACAATGCAGGTCAGCATTACAAAACGACGTTAGAGGTGGTGTGTGTGGAGGG